CTCTCCCTTCCTAAGCCGCTAGCGTTACCTGCCCCGAGCTCCCCGCGGGTTCCTGCTCTCCCGGTGCTGGGGTTTTTACGGTGAAGAGCGATGCGGTGACTGGGAGTTTGGCACGAGGGGCGGCACACCGTTCTTCCCGCTGCTTCCCGGGTCACCTGCGCGCCTGTGGAGCCGGGAGTGTGTCGGTGCGGCCAAAGCACAACTGGCTGGTAAAGGTCAATCTCCAATGGACTCCTTGCAGACGCCCTTCGGCCTCCTCAGAGTGTTCAGCGTTGTGATCCCTTTCCTGTATGTTGGGACTCAGATCAGTAAGAACTTCGCAGCCCTACTTGAAGAACACGATATCTTTGTCCCAGAGGATGACGACGATGATGATTAAAGGGTATGTTGTTAGCATCATCAGCAGTCTAATTATTTGTGCTTCCTATTTGGCTTGGGGCAGAGAGGAGAATCTCAGACTGGGAAATGCAGACAGCAACAGCTTGAAAGATGCGTTTGCAGTTCAACACACAGACACAGTATTGCCTCTGGCTACAAACTTTTCTGTTCTTTTATATCAGAGTAGGCCAGACTGGTATCTGAATGTGAAATCTCCACAACATACATTTGTTGGAGATCAGAATAAACTGATGGCGTTTTAGAGCTTGTCACTTGAATCAGAAATAAACTGTAGTCAGTGAGGGTCTATATGGCAGATAGAAAAGAGGGACCTCAGCGTTACCACATTACATGTCCAGAGAAGGGCAACGAAGGTGGTGAAGGGTCTGGAGCACAAGTCTGATGGGGAGCGGCTGAGGGAGCTGGGGGGGTTTGGTCTGGAGAAGAGGAGGCTGAGGGGAGACCTGATCGCTCTCTGCAACGACCTGAAAGGAGGGGGTAGTGAGGTGGGGGTCGGTCTATTCTCCCAGGCAACCAGAGACAGAACAAGAGGGCATGGTCTCAAGCTGCGCTACGCAGAGTTTAGATATTAGGAAAAATTTCTTCACCAAAAGAGTAGTCAGGCACTGGAACGGGCTGCCCAGGGAAGTGGTGGAGTCACCATCCCTGGAGGCATTTAAAAGATGTGTAGATGTGGCACTTAGGGACATGGTTTAGTGGTGGACTTGGCCGTGCTGGGTTAACGGTTGAACTCGATGATCTTAAGGGTCTTTTCCAACCTAAATGATTTTATGATTCTATTCTACGTGTTTACCTGTTTAAAAGTCTTCTGCTAACTCACAGAATGACTATTTTAAGAGAATCACTTACTGTCTGAAATTCTGATATAGAGGTGAACAATTAAAGAGAATTCCAGAACCCATCTGGAAGTGGGTGCTACAACACTGATCTCTGGAGTAGCTGGACCATTCAGACTCATCGCATAAAGGAAGGGTGGAAATAATTCACCTTTATCTGCAGTACACTACACTACACTTTCCACCATTTTATGTTACTCCATTTGCCTTGCCCTTGTGTAAAGATTTGAGTTTGCGTGTATTTGTTTCTTTATAGAACAAAGAAGCTGTTTTAAAGAAGTTGTTGTAAATAGTGTTGCTTTATAATCAGTTTAGTGGATGTATTCCATTTGATAAAGGCATTTTCCAGCATGCACTGTGCAGCTAAAAAAAATGAATTAAAAGACTGTAAAGACTGCAGTGGCCTGTTAGAAACTCCTTTTATGTAAACCCCCAGTTTAAGGGGAGGGTATGGACTGGAGCTCAGTACAGTATATCCGAAGAGTAACGGCTTATTATTCTGTTTGCAGAACTGTAATGGAAGAACAGAAGGGAGAAAACCATTGACAAAGCAATGGTTTCAACATCTGTCACCTGTGTTTTGTCCTTCCTAAACGGGACGGGGGGCTCTGTATCCCCTTTGCCAGTGAGTGTCTTGCACGTGTCTGTCTGACGGAAATGTGCGGATCAGGGCTGAAGGAAGTGCTTGGTAGGCCCTGCATCCTTGCACACACACACGCTCACCTCATCAAAGACTGCTTGGGATTCGTTTTATTAACAATATGGGAAACAATTAAAGATTGAGATGTATGATTTTGGTCTTCTGTTTTTATAGATTATGTGCCTACGTCCTAGCATTTCTGTCTTAACCTTTCTACCTCTGTATGTCTGTTCCAGTAAGGAGGCTCTCTTCATATTTATTTCCTCTTACGAGTCCTTTCTGCAATTCAGTACTGATCTACAGTACACGACAGAAATCCTAGAGGAAGCAACAGCCCCACAACACAGCCCCATTGAAAGAATGCATACTGACACTGGCACTGCAGTTCAAATAATGCTGATTTACAACCTACCAAGTGTATCTATCTGATGGAGACTCTGTCATTAATTTCACCTCACTGAGGATTAAATACAGTATTAACATTGCAGAGATAAAAGTTTTGAGTAGTTGTGGTAAGATCATGAGTGGCAAAGTAACTCGCCGATGTGTTTTACAGCATTTAATCTCTGAACAGTGAAAAAATCTGAACGCTCTGGCTCCAAGTATTTCCTAGGTGGTTCAGTACTTCCTCTGTATAAGCCCTAATATATTTATTTTCTTAATGGTGTATAAACTTCCACTCTTTTTTTTTCATCAAGTGTTTACTATTGCAATTAAGTCCTTGAATAATAGACTTTAAAAGGTTGTCTTCTACTGCTAGGGCATGCGTAGAGCATCTTCAGTCACATCAGACCAGCTGTTTTCTCAAATACCTTGAAAGGTTAGTCAAATTTTTATTTTTTAAGCCAGCATTACCCCAGTATCTCTCTCATGGCTTCTGGTCACTAGATCTGGCCTCGCCTCTTGACTGCCCAGTTCTTCCTTCAGTATTCATGTAGCTGTTAAAAAGTTTCTTTTAATGTTGCACAGATTAGGAGGGTGTATAGTTCAAACCCAGGCACATTTACTCCCTTATTATTTGGCACTGCTTTTGATGTTTGCTCTGTAGTTCTCGAGCGCAGCTACGGAGAGAAAAGGGAGCCTGCAGTCTGAGTAAGCCCAGGAGCTGTGGCTGAACGCAGCTGGCAGGTTCTTGAGTCACTCAGTATCTGAGTTGCCCCCTCCTTCCCCAAAAGTGCCTGAGAAGTGGTTGCTCCAGTTCATCTGCTCTTGGGAGCCAAACACATCCCTGCTCCTCTTTTCTGCATCACCAAATTCCTTATCACTGCTTTATGCCACCATCTCTCCTGGCCCGTCCTGACTGTGTCACCTCATCCTTAAGAACACCCCACCCCCAAAAGTACACATACATACACATCCCTGAGGAGCAGTGCTTTACAGCCCCCATTTGGGGAAGAAAGCCCCCCCAGTATTCAGGCAAGGATAAAAAGTTTGAGCATATGACAAAGATTCAATGCTGATCACGCATGGGGGAGCTCCAGCACCGAGTTACCTGCTGAAAACCCCTTCTGACTGGTGAAAGAAGAAATTCTCCTCACCGTTCTCAAAAGGGAGCTAGTAATTCCCAATTCAATTAAGGAGGCGATGGTAGGATACCGTCTTCTGTTAGGCAGCAGAAGCTCTTACAGAGCCTCTCTATTCTAGACAACAGTACAAGACCCCATTTTTCCACGTAATTTCATTTTACAGCACGGAAGTAGACTCTGCTGATCTTTTTATTGCACAAAGGGCTTTATTTGCCTATTGGATTTTAGGCCATTCTCTGTGAGGAAGTAAACAGAGACCAGTGTCCAAGTGAAAAACAAAAGGTCAACAAAGTCATAGCATGAAATTGCAAAACCCTGCATGAATACAGATGGGCCTCAAGCACAAGAATATTTCTGTGACTACACTGGCTTTTCTGACAGCCCACTCTTTCTTCCGCAGAGCTAACACCTACGCACAGGGCTGCAGGCTAAGCAGAAAGCCCCACAGCCAGGTTGTGTTGTGGTTATTCGGCAGACGCTCCAGGGCAAGCGATGGAACAAACTCCATCCACTGAAAATACACATTGGCAAAACTGGGAAATCACAGCTCTTCATACAGATCATAACAACTGCATTCAGAGTTAGTCATTAGGCTCCTAATACGCTGTACAATCTTTCTGTAGAGATTTTTTTTCTACTATATAGAACTTTATTTGTAATTACAAGGCAGGAAGACACGGAGTCAATCTCTCAGGGATCATGGCCCGCATAGAATTTGGACAGAAAGTCTTTAGGTCGTGGGGTTTCCGTCTCATGGAAGTACCTCATGATGTGAGTCCTCTGCTTCCATACCTGAATGGTTTCTTGAAGATCCATTTTTCCCTGTGCACAGAGAAAAGAATTTTAGACTAGTTCTCAGTTAGAGTCCGAGTCTAACTATACAGCAGTGTGAAAATTATTGGAATGCACTTAAAACACCCTTAAGACAGCTGGATCAACAATTCTGTACTCCTGAAGACTGCCTGCATCACCTGTACTGCGACACAAACATATATACTGTTCTTGCCTTGTGACTTGACAAGTCACTTGGCTCTACAGCACAGCCTCCCAGCCCTGTGGAACCGGCAAGGGACCCTGCCCCCTTCGTAGAACCTGCCTTGTTTCTCTCCACACCAGCACCCCCACAAAATTCTATACGGCA